GTTCCTTAATATTTTGGCATTGCATAAATTAAGACTCAGTAAAAGTGCCTCTTTTTTGGACACCAACTCTGCCTTTAATGGATTGCTATCTTTCTAAGGAGATAATGCCATATAAAGAGGTAGGAGATTTTGATATTTGGGCAAGGTTTAGCTTTTATATATTCTGAAATCAGTGGTCAAAGATGTCAAGTAGCCAGCTCCAAGGGAGATTTACACAGTTCTATAATCTTATTGTACCTCTCAATAAATAAATGCATTAGGCAAATACTAACAAGGATGGGGAACATATTATGAAGACGATTCATTACAAGATGGGATAAGGAGTCCACTGGGTTTAAATTCATCCAGCTTTAAAGCAATGCATCCTAAATGATGTGCACGTTAATTACACTACTAAAGATATTTCGAGGACTAGGGAGTTTATTGAGCAAGTCTAATTCCTATCTATTACATTCTTTAGAGGGAGAGAGAAAGTGCACAGAAGAAATAAAATGGATTTGAGGAGGAATAGAGAAAACCTAGATGTTTATCATTATTAACTAGTGCTCAGACTCTCAGATAGATACTTTACCAGATCCCAAATTACTTAGTGATTAATGAATTGCCATATTATTGTAATCGATATACGTAAACATAACCATTTATAGCAGGATTGCTAATAAACATCCTTAACATGACAGTTGCAAACTCAAACATTTACTAGGAAGCACAATTCTATATTAGGAATGTTTAATATCAACATAATTTAAAAAGTAGATGATGATATTCCAAATTATATTGGTCTTTATTTTCTGTTCATTTAATTTTATGAGTGAGTAGCACAATGCCAGGCACATAGTAGGCTCTTAATCATCATTAAATGCATGAGTAAATGAATGAAGTTCCCCTTTAGAACAGCACATTCAAACCAAAGTAAATCTATCATAAATTGAAATTAAGAATCAATGGAACAAGATTGCTGGTGCTAAAGCTGACCATTTTAATAAAAGATGAATTAGAATTCAGGGAATTTTTAATGGAACACACGATTGCTGCATCCTTCATTACCTGGAATATCACATAGTTTGAGCAGAGACATCTTGTAATAGCTTGTTAACATTTATTGGGTGCTGAGTATGTGTCAGACACTGTGATAAGTATTGACATATATGAGTTTATTTAATCCTCACAGCTGCTCTATGTGGTCAGTCTTATTATTTCCATTTTATAGAAAAGAAATTTGAGGCTCACAATGATTGAATGATTTGCCTGAGGTAACACAGCTAGTAAGAACAGAGTTGGTTTTTTAACATAGCCAGCCTTGCTCCAAAGTCCATGCCCTTGATCATTAAAGTGCTTTGCTTCAGGTAGTAAACATGTCCACACTGAAGTCATTCAGAGTAAGAATATGGACAAAAAACACAAAAAGTGAAGAAAGAATTTAGGACTGCTAGAGCACAAGACTGCTTCATATCCATCTACAGTACTGTTTGGGTCAGAGGAATGTACAATGTAAAAAACTGGAGGAAATAGGAAAAGTCAAACTTTTAGAGGAAAATTGAAAGTCAGTGTTTAATTTATGTCAAGATGGGCAGTAGCAATTAGAAACCAAGCAAAGGCATTTGCCTTTTTTATTTTTATTTTTTTTTTGTCTTTTTTCGTGACCAGCAACGGGATCACAACCCTCAGTGTCGCGCCCGTACCGGACCGGGACCGGCCACGGGATCACAACCCTCGGTGTTGCTCCCGCCCCTCGCTCAGCCAGTGAGCGGCCGGTCTGTATGTGGGATCCGAACCCTCCGCGGGGGCGCCACTGCGCTTCCCAAGCAGCGCACTATAGCAGTGCGCCACCGGGCTGGCTCCAAGCAAAGGCATTTGGATAAAAGATTCAGAGACTCAAGACACAGAATTTAATCAAGTATGGGCAACAGTAAGAACAAGGAATAAACCATTAACTAATGTGTCTTCCCTTTGCTTTACTTTGGTTCTTTTTTTTTTTTTTTTTTTTTTGATGGCCCAAGAATTGCACACTTATTTATTTATTTGTTGGCTGGCCCATGCCTGTCCAGGGATCTGAACCCTTGACCTTGGTGTTATAACACCACACTCTAACCAACTGAGCTAACCAGCCAGCCCAAATTTTGTTCTTTTTGATGTCAGGATCTAACTCTCAAGCTTACCAGGCCAGGGACTGGCAAAGAGTACTGAAGAGAAGCTGCTGGCTAGAGTGAGGAGTAAGGGGCATGGTAGTCATAGACCAATATGGCCCCAGGAGCTTTGCCTCTTCATTCTTTGTCTCTCACTGCATATTCTAGTGCTTTGCGTAGTAAGTGAAATACTATATCTATATTGTATGTCTGACATGATTCTAACTGTCCAAGTGCATTGTCTGGCTGCAGGAATTGACAACTTTGTATATTCTCAAGCAAGGTTTTTCTATGGTCCAATTTCCTAGTAGATTTTCAGCCAGATTTTGTGGAATTAAGATTCTTTTATAAAGATAAAAGTCTGATCCAGAATCTAGCCTACCTTAAACATAGCTGAATTATTTATTATAATATCCACTTGGCATTAAGACCATTAAGACCATTATTTGGTACATGGGAGTGATGTTTCAAAGAATCCATACCACCCCTTGGAGGGCTCTGAATTAATTTTATTAGGTCAACAATACTGAACAAAAGGTAACAGTGGAGAAAAAAAAAATGCTTAGATAATTTTGGCAAAGGTATATCCTGGAAAGTTTACCTGTCAGAAAAAATGGCAGTTTGTAGTGTACAAGATCTGTATTCAACAAATGTTTTAACATGTCCTCTAGGGAGGTTTAGAAAGGAAGACTTTGAAGGACTGTTAAGAAATTTATGAGTCAACGGCAGAAAAATACAATTAATAGCGACAGCTTCTAGTTCTTTCTCTGAGACTTAGTCTTCTGAGAAATATAACAACTCATCTGATAATTGCATAATTGCTAGCATGACAGAAATTTGACTTTTTAGGGATCCTCTGATCAAAGATCCCAACCTATTGGCTCACATGTGCTGTGTCCTGGCCCTTCTGAACCTTGCAGGGCTGAGAAATTGCAGTTATGGCAAATGTTGACCAAAGTCCTTCCTTTTTCCCCAAGATGAGTGTGATAAATCATTTCCCATGATTATTAGCCCCTCAAATGCATGAGATTGCATCCATTGCTGCCTTTGTGAATTGATGACTCATTTGCTGCAACTCCCTTAAAAGGAAGGCACATATTTACATTAAAAGGGACTTTTGTAGTCCATGACCTTGAAGGACTAATTTTGGCTTCTTAATGCTTTTATTTTACTAAGAATAAAATGTTGTTGATGTAAATACATGTTTGAAAAACATTGTGAGTCTTAAGTATTGAAGAACACTTCAACACTGGCCACAGTTTTCTTTTTCATGTTTAGGGAATCAGACATTACTGGAAAAGTTTTTCAAAAATTTTCTTGATTCCTCTATCATTCATTATTTCTAAAACAGGAAGCTTTTGTAGCTTTAGGCAATTTAACTTTGGGCTACACATGCTAAAAATAGCCTGGGGTATGTTTGGCCCATTCTGGCTGTGTGCCTCTCTGCAAAAACAGAACTTCAATAGCTTTATCCTTAAAAACAATTCATTTTTCTTCCTCTCTCCTTATGATGCTACTTAACTGCCACCCCTACCTTGTCCCAAGAGATATATGTTGTCCAAGTCAACAGATTTTTATATGTGCCCTAAATAATTTCTCTACTACCTTCATTCGTGAAAAATAATTTAAACACTTTAATTAGAACATATTCAAGAGAGTGACCAGAATGATGAAAGATTTAATCCATACAAATGAAGAATGAATAAAAGGAGCTGAAGAGGTTAAATCTGGTGAAATATAGGTCCAGCAGGGTCATGGTGATTGTCATCAAACATTTGAAGGGCTGTCTTGGTGAAGAGTGATTAAAAGTGTAGAATTAGAGCCAGTGAATAGACACACTGTGAAATAGTGATGCTTTCTAACAGACTTTTCTAAAGATAGAACAGGCTTCTTTTAGAGGGAATGTGATAATCTGATAGACCACATGGGAAGATAATATGGAAGGATGATTAATTTGACTGCACAATATTTAAGTTGCTTCCAACCCTGAGAAGCTATTCCTGTCCATATACATACATACATACATATATATATATATATGATATTTCTACTCAAATCCCTTCATTGATTAACTATATATTAAGCTACAGAAAGAGCCAATCATACTACTAGCTGCTGCTTATGTTTCTCCTCTACTCTCATCCCAAATAGTAGACTATTCTAATATTGTAGTCACCTTGACAACAGGAGTGACTGTTTTAATAGCTTTCGGTAACATTATTCCAAGGGAATCTATTGCCTGATAAAGTAGGGGAACAGTCTTCAATGTTCTCTTTCTTTTCAAACCTCAAAGACTCTAGGATTAAACGTGTGCTTTGAAATTAAAATCATTGTAAATTTGCTGAGTAAGAGAACATCAAGTGTACTTGTTCCAAAGACTATAAAGTTTTTACTTAGTATAATGTATAAAACATATTTTTCTCGTGTAACTTACATGAAAAATTTTACCAACTAAAAAGCATGGCTCATATTTTATAATTGTCTCTAATTTCAAACAAGTCAATATACATTTATTTATATTTAACACTGTGATGGGGCTGCTGTGTCTTCTTTTATCCTTACAACACACTGAAGAGTTGATACTATTATTTTTCCTATTGTATATACCAGGGGAAACTGAAGCTTCCAGAAGTTAAACACCTTACACCAGGTCATACAGTTGGTATTAAAGCAGAGCAAGGAATCCAAATTTGACTCTGAGCTAGTCACCCATCCAATGTGCTGACTGCATTGATGGCCCTAATGCTAATGTGATTATTTTATTTAGGATAACTTTGTGTAAAAAAATAAAATTTAATTTGTTTTTTGATTCCCAATGATTTCCCTCCCATTGTATGTTCAGTTGACCACTCAAGCTTACAAGGTTACACTCACCCCGTTTATGAAGTAGAACGCTGGCATGTCGACGTCCATTTCCATTTTCAACATAACAGGAGTAATTTCCCAAGTCACCTTCTTCCACAGAGTCCACAATTAATGAGATGGAAACTTCTTGTTCCCCAAGATGCTCTTTAAGAATTCTAAAATATAAAGAAAAACGAAACAAAAAACCCCCACACAAACATACACATACACGAAAAAGAAAGAAATGTAGGTGAATCTGAATCTGATGTGAAAATACCTGCAGAATCTGCACTTCAAATTTGGCTATGGATTAATGCTGTGTTAATTAAATTATATCATGTCCTTTTCTTCTTCACTTCTAATGAGGAAGCTTGCCTTTGTAGATGCTAATGAAATTGCTGTTAATTATCTCTCTTAGCAGGACAATCACAGTCATAATACAGAGGTGAGAGAGACCTTGAAGAAAAGTTTACAAACTGCTTTTCTTTTAAGAAGAAATATGATGTAAAGGTGAGGTAAGGAATGCTAACGTCTTATGCTAGAGGCCTAATTATATATCAGGTTAATTTAAAAAGAAAAAAAAAAATCTGAGCAATTTTGACATTTCAATTGAAACTTCCAGCCTGACTTTTGTTAATGATACAAAACAATTGCCTATTTTTAAAGAAGTATAAAATTATAAACCTGAAGACTAAAAGTTCTGAAAGTGTTTAATTCTGACATTTAAAATTAACGGTAAATGCTCACTAACCTCACTGTCAAAGATTTTAGCAATCTCTCAGAGAAAATAGAAAAACTCCAAACTAGGGCTCCCTTTCCCTGCTCTCAATGTTTCCACCTCCACCCTCCCACCTGTTTGATAACTAAATTCTGTGAAACATTTCCTAATACAGAATTAAAGAAAAATATCTTTCTTTTTTTTTTTTTTTTTTTGTCTTTTGTCTTTTTCCATG